CTGTTGTCCTCCATCCATATTTTCAGTTACAGACTGAGTCATTTATCTTCTCCTCTCTGTCAACGCTCTCTGGTTTCATTTAAGAGTCGATAGTCAGATTAAATAAAGTCTAATGTTACAACTAATCATGGATCCCTTTAAGACCAGAGAATAATACTGCTGATGATTTCTGTTTTGAAAATTTGCAGCTTTTAGGATCTCGATGGCYGCACCAAAAACTCTTTAATATTTAGATACAAACTAAAGCGTATTGAAAAGCACATAGTTTTAAATTCATGATCATCTTTAATGTTATTTTGAGTTTAAACTTGCTTGTATTTGCTTCAAAGTTTAAACATTTCCGTCTGATTTCTATCTGGAACGTTATCAGAAAATGCAGACAGGAGTGTCTTCTTACAGAGGCTTAAAACTGAAACTCAGATAACTTGTACTGAAGCAGGTGATGAGTTCAGYGTCTGTTACTGTGCTGATGATGGAGCCAGGTTCAGGTCACTTTACTGATACAGAAAACTCTCTTTTAGCCGAGCAGAGCCAACTAGTTGTTAATCTCATGTCTGAGATCATAGAAACTCAGATCTGTGCCAGTCAGAAAGGCTCATGTTGTCGAGCCGGTTGGTCCAGCTGGGAATATTTGATTGACAGCTTTTATGGCCYGGTGGCTGCAGACAGACGTGCTTTCTTTTGGTGCCTCTCGCAGCACAGTTTGATCAGATTGCAGAGGCAGCAACACTTCTTTGTGACTGTATCTGATGTCCATCTTTATTTTCCTTCTTATAACTTCTTTCACACAAAGTTACAAGTTTGGTCTTTCAGCAGCAGTTATGGCCTTTTAATGGCCTATTTTCCTGTTGGTTTTATCACATGCACAACATCCTCTTCCTGTCTGCAATAATCTATTGTTGGCAACAAACTGTGTCGACATTGAAGCTTTATCTTATCCTGGTTTAATATGAATCTAGTTGCTTCTCTCACTTGAACAATAGGACTTGTGTTTCTGCTTTTCGAGAACACGCACCACAGCTGCAGCTTAGTCAACATTTTCAGAGTAAACGCATGAAAAACCTCCTGTTTCCTCTTGGATTCATTGTTGTTTCCTGTTAGTCAGCAGATCAACAACACAATAAGAAAACAGTCTTTTCTCAGAAACGTTTGGATTTTACAGAAATAGGCAGATTTTTAGAATTAACAGGAACATGTTTTATTTAATTTAGGGCTGTTTTGCATTTAAAATATCCAAATGTTGTATATAAAAAGAAAAGAACAACTCAGCTTCTTTATGTACCTTCTGTTCTGCCTGTATTTTTGTGAAATAACCTTATTTTAGCCGGATAGTAAAAGAAAGTTACAGAGAAAGAAACAAAATAAACTGAGTAAATTTAAAGCTATTAAAGTATGTTTTTGAGATACGTGTTTCGTGAAGTATTTGTGTTTTTCTCTGCTTTTGATGTCGTAAACTGGAACACCTTGTTCTGATTTTAAAATTGTTCTGTCAGCTGCTTCTTTTGAGGAAGTAAACGTGTCTTTAAGTAAAATCAAAACTGACAAATCAGACCAGCAGGAACTGCTTCAAAGGCATTTTTACCCCACAAAAAGTTAGTGTAGCATTCACCCAACTTAACAAACATCATTAATCAATAATTTAGGAGCAAACTAAGAGGAGCAACTGAGTGTGAAAGTTTTATTTATTAAAGTGCTTCTTAGRTTCTGCTTTTGAGCTTAATAATAGTTCATACAAACATTTAAAATGGCACGTTTTATACAGAAAATGCTTTTTTATTTGCAGTATTAATTACTTTTAAGTTATATTATTGTATAGACATAAAATCTGTTGAAATTACATAATTTAAAATAAAATGTGATACATTTAATCAGGATACATAAAGATGTAAAGTGAAAGTTTCTCATCCTCCAGATGTTGTTGTTGTTGCTCAGACGAGGCTGTTTTCTGTTGTTTCCTCTCCTAAATGCACGTCATCCTGTTTATGTGGAACCTGTCTGTGCAATCAGAGCTTCATTAAAAGCAAACAAGCGTCTGCAGGTTACAACCCATCCCAGCATGTGGGGATGCTGTTGCCTCACTCTGTATGCATGCAGGCGACGCCCTGCTTCAGCTTCCCTCCACCTCCACAGAGCTGCAGTTAGCTGGCAGGTTGTGCTCCTGCACACGGCAGCAGGTATGAGAGGGAAGATCTGAGCAGCAGATCAGTGGAGTTTATTTAGAACATTCACATTCAGTTTATCTGGTTTTCCTCATGAGGCTGGGAGATTTAAACCACTTTAAATCAGTTTAACCCCACAACAAAGCTGCRGTGCGGGTTTTTTATGATGTCAAGGCGACGCCATCAACAAAAGGCTTGAAACCTCTCCTACACAGTCATGAATGCACCTCCTGATTTCAGACCTTTCAAACCTCCCACAKCTCAGATTTCAGTAGTGATTCAAGTAGCTGCACTGTTGCAGCCGTTAGCCAAYGTTTCCTACACTTTATGAAACAATTAGTCATGTAATCAGAGCAACAAGAAGTGGGAGGGGCCTGTTGCTGGTGCGTGGAGCTGGAAAAAAAACCCACAAAAGCTATTCTAACATTCAGAAAGGTCATCGACTGGCGTATTGTTTTAAAATTCAGCAAATCCACAACTAAAAACATAAATTAGAAAAAGCGTTAAAATTAGTAAAATTTTAACTTAAAGCTAGAATCAGTAAAACCTAAAAGGAGCAAAAGAAGACTGGTTTCCTGGTAATTAATCTGGAACTATGAGTACATTTAATTTCTGAAAAGGTTTATTTACAGCTGCAGAGAAAAACTGAGCTGAACAGAAAGAAAGATTCTGAGAATCCTCTCTGTCTCTTAAGTTAAAAAGAGTTTTTATTTTTTTATGGTTTTAAATCTTACATCATTTTTGCTGTTTTTTCCTGTTGGAACATTACTAGAAAATAAAATTGACATAATCCAGGGTTCATATGAGTAAGCATCTTATTTAAAAAAAAAAACACTTTTTCCTTCACTGTTCTTTCTTTTTTCCTATTTTTCACCTCCGTCTCCCCCAGGTGTTTGACAACTATGCAGTGACGGTGATGATTGGCGGGGAGCCGTACACCCTTGGACTCTTTGACACTGCAGGTGAAATGTGGTTATTTACTTTGTTTCTTGGATTATTTGCAGATTAGAACTCTTTAATATGATTGGAATAATAAAGGAAGAATTGTTATTTTAAATATGTTTTAAAATAATTAAAAGCTTTAATCTAAAGTTGAGTTCAATAGTTAAAACAAGATCGTTTTTTTCTTAAATCTATAAGCTGAGGATGTTTTTGTTGCCCTCTGCAGGTCAGGAGGACTACGACAGACTGAGACCCCTCAGCTACCCTCAGACCGATGTCTTCCTCGTCTGTTTCTCTGTTGTATCACCTTCCTCCTTTGAAAACGTCCGAGAGAAGGTTTGCAAATAAATCACATTAAATTCACACAGTTCTGCAGGGGGACACCTGAAATCTAAGAAACTAAGCCTCAACTTTTCACAGTGGGTGCCAGAGATCTCCCACCACTGCCCCAGGACACCCTTCCTGCTGGTCGGGACGCAGGTGGATCTGCGAGACGACAACAACACCTTGGACAAACTGGCCAAGAACAAACAGCGACCTCTTACCTCTGAGAGTGGAGAGAAACTGGCCCGCGAGCTCAGAGCTGTTAAATATGTGGAGTGCTCGGCGCTGACGCAGGTACACAAAATAAAAGAAACGGTTTTTGAATTAAAACAAACAAACAAACAAACAAACTGTGTCTATTGATATTAGTCATATATTTAAAAAGATGAGTAAAATTGACAACTTAAGGCAGCAACGTACCGTAAAATGATAATTAAATTAGTTCCATGGCTCAGTGAAAATCAGACACAAAGGAATTTAATTAACATTATGAACGATAATGTTTAGGATTTAATATATACACATTATTTCTTTGTTGTAACAGTGCTTATAGCTGCCCATGATTGGCAAGGTTATAATAGTTTTTTAATTTTTTTTATTATAGTTTAATGTCATTGTGACTTTTTTCTTTTGATTTTGTTTTAGTTTTTAAGGTATTTTTTTTTGTTTTTATTAGTTAGTATGGCTTTTTTAATGCTTAGGTTTAGTTTAGTTTTCATTAGTTTTAATATAGTTTTTTTAATATATAGTTTAAATAAACATATTTGCCCATATATCCTCCAGCTTGAGGTGTTCTGTGAGCTCACTAACCAGCAGCTATTTGGTCCTAGCTGAAAGCTGTCCATTATAACRCCTTCCTAAAATAATTGTGTAATTTAATTTTGYCAACAAAGGACTTGGGTGATTATTTTAGGAAGRTGATAGTTGTCTCCGTACCAGTGCTACCTGGCCGGGTTGTTGCTTGTTTTTCACAGGAGCTACTGAGAGAAGCTAGCTCGTCAAGAWACTCAGTTAGCCGTCTTGTGTGAGCTTGATTCCCGCAGTTTTCCCCTTCAGAAGTATTCAACCTGTTTTATCACCTGTTTCCACTATGAGACACTTGCTTTTGTTTTTCTTGCAGTTATATTCAAAGAAATCCCAAATTGGACTTTGCTGCTTTCTCCCAACTTTTGTTGTTGTCATGTTGCAGGTGAACGCTGAGCGGCAGCAGATTGAAAACAAATTACGGACCATGAGGGGCTGTAAGCTGCCTGCAGCTAATGTTCCACTTAAAATAAATTGACAAACACTAAAAATGAAAGATATTCTATCTATAATTTCAGTTAGTTTTGTAAAAAGGTAGTACAGTTCCAGTTGGTTGTCATTATTTCATTTTATTGACTGGCAGCARCCGGGGGTACCAGAAGCTCAAAAACAAGTAGCAACAGCTAAATAAGCCGTTWGAAGCAACCCATACTCCGCTCCACTGCTCATCCCACAAATGCATGTTCCTTACAAATGTGGCWCCATTTAAAAAGGCAATTAACAATATAAGATTTGTTGCCAAGAAGCATTGTTACAACAAATAATCTACCAAACACTGATTTGATGAGTTTTTGTACCAAGTTTATAGTATTTAATCTCTGATGGGCGGTTAGTGTCCTGATGAAAGGTGAACTTGACATAAAATATATTAGCATTTTATTACGTTTATGTTTTAAAGTCATTTTCCAACCTTAAATATCTGTTAGAAGTATTTTGAATGTTAAATTAGCTTCAGTGCTAATCGTTGGTCAGCATCATCTGATTCTGAGGCGCTGCGTCTCTTTCTGTCTCCTCAGAGAGGACTGAAGAACGTGTTTGACGAGGCCATCCTGGCAGCCCTGGAGCCTCCCGACATCAAACCCAAGAAGCGCTGCTTCCTCCTATAGACACGGCCGAGGAAGAGGAGGTGGAYGAGGAAGAGCTCATCCTGTCCGGGAGCAGAGGGAGGGAGCACCGAGGGGAGGGTGGGTGACGCAGACACGTGTTCAAACAGTGCCTTCAGCCGTAGCGGGCTAACCTGGGTGTGGTGTTGGAACACATTTAACTTCCTGACAGAAACGTGTCGTTTAACATGACTAACACACATGAACTACACTCCTCACTAACAGAAACATGGCTTTAGCACCGCAACGAAGCAGGTCGAACAATAAAGACTTGAACCTCAAGACTTCTTCAAGATGCAATAAATGGAGTCAGGTTTATAAGTAAAACTGCAAACACTCCATGTTTAGGAAATAATTTAGGCTCTGATGATGTTAGAAGAGGCAAAAACTACATTTGGAGATAAACAATGAGGCACAACGTTGTAAATGTTTAAAACACTTTTCTCTTTATTAAATGTCAGCTTTTACTCCTGTGTAACAAAATCAAACTAAAAGCTTTTCTCTGTATTTGACTTTTTTAACTACATGTTTTCACAGGAAAAATCTATTGTAAGAAAATTTCGTCCA